CTATCTTCAGAGTTTACAACTTGGAAAAAATAAGTCAGATTATTTCTTCTTCAAAGTTTCAACGTGAAGCTGGCTCAAAACTAGACTATTGCATATCCAGCTTCAAACAATATCAAAGGAATCAAGGCTTGATTGAAGGGCATCAGTACGCAAATATCAAATTTTTAGTTTCGGAGAACGTATGAATTCTTTTAGCTATTTACGTGCATTCAAGAATAAAATCCTTGGGACATTCCTTTTATTGCACTATATTCAGCTTTTTTCCATTGATGGAAACCCAGCAGCAGTGTCAAGATTTTTTATATCGCTTTAATTTAATTGAAGGGGAAATGTTTCCAAATTCTTTTTTTTATGGACTCCTCTTCATCAATCCATTTACTGCAAAATCGTTGAAAAAAGTCTGTAATTAAATTAGCGTACTATGAGCACAAAAGCAACTCCACTGTCTATATAAGTTTCTAAAAAGACGCAGCAGACATCAAAGTTTGTGGAAATGCCGCAAAAATGTAAGCATCATATCTTGTGATAAATTTTACAAGATTTGAAAGTTCAGCAAAAGTTGATCATTTAGAGCTTAAGATTCTGGGTTGCGTCATCCACAAAGTTCAGCGATTGAATGAATGTTCGGATTTTAATTTCGCTCCATTTACGCGCAAAATAATGTTTCGCAGTCAATTCTGAGACGATTTCCTTTTCTGCAGATGCGGAAATCAGCGCGAAACCTCTGATACTCCTCATGGGACCAACAGGGACTGGAAAAACGAGTGCCATCAAGTACCTCCTTGGCCTGGATTCCGCGTCTGCGATTCCTCGGATACCCATCGGTACTTATTTAATGTTCCATCCCTTTTTTTTTGCTCACCCAGTCTGTATTTTGGCGGTAGCAAGGGATAATTACGCATATATATCGTGTTTTTTATTTATTATATTTTTTGCACACACTATTTCACAGGTCCTGTGCCTGCTCAAAGTCAATTCACTATTTGGCGGCATGCGGAGAATCCGTCTGTGGAGATGGGACCGGAATTGGCAGCTGACGCCACTTTCACGACACTGCAAAAGTTCGGCTTGTCCGCCTTGGACAGGGTCACGGGGATCCGACTGAAGGCACCTCTACTCGACAAGGTTGACCTATAATGAACCCAGTTGCATTAACTGAGGGTCGTTTGACCTTGCTTCTCACTTGTTGTTTCTGAAGTCGTCTAAAACCGACAGCCAGAAAAAAAAAACAACAGCACTGAGGATGTATTTGGAATCATCAAGATTAGGGCACAGCATCTTAATATTTTTGAGATGAGGTCATTTTAAATTTATTTATGGGACAGAGCCTCATGCGTTTACATATTCCTTAAACTTTGAATGACGGAAGGTTATTTTTTTCCACTGTCTAAGTAGTGCGATATTTCGTTTTTTTTTCTGGTGAATTTCTGTTTATTTGAACAAAGGTTTCCAAAACCTCAGCAAAATCAAACAGCAAAAGTACAAAATCTTCATGTCAGGATTCTCAGGAATAAAATACATGTTCATTAAACTTTGTATTGTATGAGAAATGCTGAGGCGGAAAACACACTTTTATAATATGGAATACTCAAATATGTTTAAGATTTTTTGGCACAGGTGGTACCTTGCAATTCAATCTCCCAAAATTTGACTGGGAAATTTGCTGAGAGGTTGAATCGCAACTTGACCTAGGCCCCACAATTTGCCCCACATCTGTAACAATTGTATTATAAAAATGTATTTAAAACCCTGCAAGGAAACTCAAATTTAGGACGCGCGCAGCTGCAGATATTTTTGTCCTTCCTGCACTCAAGCCCAGACCCCAGAGGCATCACCACCTGTTGAGGGCCAGGACAGAGTTAAAACCATCCTTGGGAACAGCTGCTCCACCGAGGGGATTTCCAGGAAGTCCATTTAAAACAGAAACTCTGAAAAAATCGGAAGAAAGTTAAGTGGTTGCCCACTGAGAATTTCAATTTGCAGTTGGACTTTCTGCCTAAAAATAGAAGCCCTCCCAGTGAAAATTGTCTAGGAGGAAGATTTGAACCTTCCTCCCCAGGCATCCCAGTTGTTCTCTGTGCATTTGTACAAGATTTATTTTGAAAATTTGGCAACTTCTGATGGGGCTTTCAAGTGCATTTCCACCCATTTGTGTGAGTGTTTTGCAGTTGTTCAAGAAGCTTTTAAGCTTCCTGGGAAGGGGGAA